TAAAAGCACAGTCTTAGCTCAGCTGAATCCCATCTACCTATGCCCACACCCTATTCCAGGTGCCCGCCATCAGGCATGCATTCAGGACAAGGATCCATCATCTATCCTGATGGCGGAAGGGCAGAAAAGCCTGATATTTTCTTTACCCTACAGACACCAAATTATATTTCATTTACCCAGTATGTGGTTTCAAAACAAACCCCTAGTACTTGCTCTTGCCTTATTCTGGCAGTTTTTAAAGGTCTGTCAACTTTCAGTGTTGAGAAGAAACAAAACCTAGACCCTAACCCTGTGTTTCTGCCCTTGAGCACCAGACCCAGAATGAATCTGGGAAGCAAAGTATGGTGGTGCCCACCCAAGATGGTAGAAATTAGGTTTGTAAGGAGCTGTGGCTGTGGTGCATAGACTAGACACCTATTTCTCAACTCAAAGCATTTAGACATCTGGGAGAGGGTTGGGGCTGTCCTATCAAGCTACCCACCTGTGACCAATTACTGTTTCTTCTAAAAATATTGAGAGATTTAATGGTTTGAGATTATTAAATGTGGGGTTGAGGGGTGTTGGGGGGAGGGCTGGTTTTGATATTAAGCAGGTCAAGAGAATTTTTTTTAGAATTTAAAATTCACATCATTTTTGTACTATGTTTGCTTTCTCCTCAGGTGTCCCCAATAGAATTCCCACCACCAGTTAACCTGTGCACCATCATCATAGTCCCTTATGCTCTTCCCTTCCCTGCAGAATGTCTCTGATTTATAGTTGCCTGTTAATTTTGCATTTTTATTTTTTCTTGATCCCTTATTGGGTTCCCCTATACTCCTTTAAGTGGAGCCGTCGGTGTTTTTCTTTTTCCTTCTGGCTTATTTCACTGAGCATAATCCCTTCCTAGCTCATCCATGTTGCTGTGAATGGCATGAGTTTATCTTTTTTTTTTTTTAAAGATTTATTTATGCATACAAGAGCTGGGGTACAGGCCAGAGGTGTGGCGGGGTGGGGGGCAGTGACAGGATTTACCAGAGACAATGGGGAACAGAACAGGCAGATTACAGAAGTACATTGCTGAGGGGAGTAGCAGGGGATATGAGAGATCTGCTGCGTCATGTGGGTTGCTCCCTGGCTGGCCAGGGATCTAATCTGTGCTGCAGTGGCTGCAGACAGCTTCATAGGTTGCATCTTAATCCCTTGTGCCACAAGGGAGGCCCTGGCTTGAGTTTATCTTTTCTGATTGCTGAGCAGTGTTCCACTGTGTGTATATATAGATATATATATATAACACATCTTTTAAGAGAGAATTTTGACTTGAGTTCTGGCATCTGACAACCTATGAGTCTAGAAAATGGCTCATACACAAGTTTGACATCACATTTCTGCACATGATTGTACAAATTATAAACTAATACAGTCTCTTGGATAATTAAACTACCTCATGCACCCCTCACCTCTTTAACATATGCAGTTATTTTGTGTCATTTTTGAGCAGCATTCTAATGCTTGAAAAGTATAAGCTTGGCATAGCTGAAAGTTAATGGTGTAGGTGGAGGGAAGAAACCAAATGTAATTAAAATATAAAATATAACTTTTTTCATTCTCACAACAAATGCCCAAGGAGGTCAAAATAAACTCTCTGTCTTTTCCAGAAGGTAGTGACGAACTGGTGAAGAGCAATTGTCTAGTTAGGAATCTGACCTGTTCTAGATAGTCTAGAGTTGGATCTTAAATTATTCAGTAGTAGTTGACATGCAAAGAAAAGGAAAGTAATTGTCAGAAGTTAAGTCTATGCACAATGATGTGAAAAAATGTGGACTATCGGGCCTCCCCTGGTGGCACAGCGGTTGAGCACTGGGCTGTGAAGCTGCTCACAGCCTCTGCAGCGCCGGTTCGATCCCCGGCCACCAGGTGAGGGTCCCACATGGCGCCGCAGACCTCTCCTGCCACCCGCTGCTCCTCTCAGCAGTGTACTTTGTCAGTCTGCCTGTTCTGTTCCCTGCTCTGGCTCTGGTGAATTCTCTCACCCTCCCATGCTTCTGACTGTACCCAGTGCTTGTAATAAATAAATCAATCTTTAAAAAAAAAAAAATGTGGACTTCTAGCAGCTCATGAAGGGCTTGGAATGTGCTAAAGTGTCAAGTTCATTCTATAAGCACAACAGGAGCATCAGATTTCTGAGGAAGGGGATGAGATTCCTGCCTCAATGCAAAAACTGATAAACATGCAGAAAACAGCTTGGAAAAGGTGTGCTTGAGACAGAAATACCATTTAAGAAGAACATTCCAATAAAAGAAAAGCTTAAAAGGTGTTATCAGAGTGAATACAGAAACATGGATTAATTTGGGAGGTATTTGGGAGGTAGAATTAGGAACTGAGCAACTGAATAGAGGGTAAAAGAGTTTTAAAGTTGAGCGATTAGGAAGATAAAACTAGCAATCAGGAAGTGCTGTATGGAGATAGAATTTTAGAGGAAGATCATTTTCATTTGCACATTGAATTTTGAGGAATATCTACAGAGAGGGAGTAAAAGGTGAGACCTGGAGGTACTTGGTAATTGTGCACAGAAGCACTAATTACGAAATTGAAAATCAAACTAAAATATTTGCCTCCCAAATCCTCTCCTTTATCACATAAATGATTTAACTCCTTTACCAGTACTCTTGGTCTCCACAGTTGAGGGCATTAAACAAATTTACTTACATACATGGGTGTGGAAGGGTAGTAGTCCCATTATCTTCCTATATATATTTAAATTTTGATGGACAGTGCTTAACTAAATTTTAAAATCAAGCAAGGCTTAACCTTGCTCAGTATCTGATCCTACAAGTATTCTGTTGTGCTGCTTTTCTTCACTCATATAGCTTCTGAATCCATGTATATTTTAAAAACTCCCCAGAACATCTTTTAAGTGAGGAAAGAGAGTATGTGAGATTATGCAGGAGCAGAATTGTGTAAACACAAATAATGTATAATTCAGGAACTGTTTTTAAATCTGAAAGAAAATTTGAGAGTACATTTTATAGAACATTTTTAAGTTTAAAAAGAAAACGGGGCCTCCCCGGTGGCGCAGCGGTTGAGCGCTGGGTTGCGAAGCTGCCCGCAGCCTCTGCACCGCCGGTTCGATCCCCGGCTGCTCCCCGGCCACCGGAGGAGGGTCCCACATGGCGCGCAGACCTCTCCTGCCGCCCGCTGCTCCCCTCAGCAGTGTACTTCGGTCCTTCTGCCTGCTCTGCTCCCCGCTCTGGCTCTGGTGAATTCTCTCACTCTCCCGCGCTTCCAGTGCTTGTATAAATAAATCTTTAAACAATAATAATAATAATAATAAAATAGAAAAGGAAAACAACCCAATCTTTGAAAGAAACTTTTTTTAAAAAAAAAGATATATTATGCGTATAAGAAATTGGGAGGATTGGCAAAAGCAACCTATATGGATAATCATGGAATAAAATGTACATTTGTCAATGTACATGGGGTGTAGGCTAGAGGTGTGGGGGCGGGGTGTGAGAGGATTCACTAGAGACGGAGTGGGTAGCAGAACAAGCGGATCGACTGACTGAAATACACTGCTGAGGGGAACAGCAGGCGAGACAGGAGAGGTCTGCTGAGCCATGTGGGTCAGCTCCCCGGCCAGGGATGGAACTCATGCCACAGTGGCTGGCGATAGCATCATAGTGCTCAGACTTACCCTTGCACCACTAGGGAGGATCTGCAAGAAACTTTCTTGCAAGTTTTAGGTAGAATTCTCAAGATACAGGGTGGAATTTTCTTTAAGAGTCAGGGATAATCTATTTTATACTTGAACTAAATCCTTTGTAAATTTCTTGGGTTAGATTCTCTTCAATTAATCTGATGGTTTTCAAATTAAGTTAGCTTTCATAGCCTTTGCAATCCTCTTAAGAGTTCTAAATTAAATATAAAATGTATGAGTAACGTTCCTAACACCCAGGAGCTGTGTATGCCAAACTTATCTTAGAATGCATTTTCCAGAGCAGAGTTTATAGATGTTTCCTTAGTGTAGAACTAGTGACAAATTTGTTATTTTATATATTTTTTATATCATTCTTCATTTTTATACAATGTATGCTTTATCATCTCGGGTATAGTCCCCTTGGAATTCCCACCAATTCACCCATGTACCATTACCGTAGTCCCTTGTGCTCTTCCCACACCTGTTTTGATCCAACTTCCTTCTCCTCCCTGCAGAATGCCTCTGGTTTATAGTTGCCTGTTGATTTTGATTTTTACTTTATTGCTTTTTTTTTTCTTGATCCCTTATTTGGATCCCCTACGTTCCTCCTGTAAGTGAAACCATCTGATATTTTTCTTTTTCTTTCTGGCTTATTTCACTGAGCATGATCCCTTCCAGCTCCATCCATGTTGCTGCGAATGGCATGAGCTTATCTTTTTTATTGCTGAGTAATATTCCATTGTGTATATATACCACATCTTCTTGATCCAATCATCTATTTTTGGGCATTTGGGTTGCTTCCATAGCTCATGTATTGTAAATAGTGCTGCAATAAACATAGGGGTGCAGGTATCCTTTTGAATTAATGTTTTTGACTAGTGACACAAATTTAGTTACCACTGTTAGAGGGATCACATCACAGATTATGTGGTATTACTCACTGTCTTGAATTAAGTAATGGCAGAAAAGGAGAAATTGGGAGGATTGGCAAAAGCAACCTACATGCATAATCATGGAATAAAATGAACATTTGTCAAAGGCGGCTACCTGTTCTATTCAAACCCGACTTAAAAAGGTCGTGTATCTTAAAAATACAGCAATAATTTAAAAGACAAAATTACATGCTTAAAAACAGTAATAATGAAAATAATTAATTTCTCTAATAATTCAGACAGTGATATCTTTTATGTATTTATAAGAAACTACTCAGGAAAGTTATTTTTCCTAGTCTAATACATAAATGGCAGAAGAAACATGGTATTTTATATCTGGTTGTAAAAGATAAATAGGTACTAATCAAACTTCTCCAAAGCTTGCCATATCTACATAGCTATGCCTAAATTATTACAGATTTTTTATTCTAGAGATCAGCGTGACTAGTTGTCAGAACCAAATTACAAATGTGCTCTTAGTAGTATATAATCTTTGAGAGGTGATAACAATTACAAGACATTTGATGACTTTTGATTATTTCCGAATATGCAAATATTTAAATTGAACTCAATTGCTTTCCAACAGAGAGTACTTTAAACAAAACTATTTTATTACTATACTTTACTTGGCATCATGGAATCATACATGACTTGGTTTTTCTTAGCAACACATTGGATAAATCTACAATTTCAGAGATCTTCTTGCTATTGACTAAGGTCTCTCCATAGTCCCTTCCAAAGCTAAATAAAATTACCTCTACTCTTCAAATCATCAGGCATTTATAACTCTCAAATTTTAGAACGAAAGGATTAATATCAAATATTGGATTGCTCATTTTTTATCAGCTTTCCAAGAATCGTAGCCTCTGTGCATTGTGTTTAGTTTCCTTAACCATGTTTTCTTTTTTTCAGTTGTCTTTTTCTGTGTTTACGTTCCTGACACTGGACACCAGATCCTGAATTTCAAAACTAAAACAATTATGCATATGAGATATTCAACCAAGATCTTCTGATTGCTTCTTAGATAATAGAGAGCTCTGTTTATGAATGTTAATTTAAAATTTTATTTATTCTTTTTAAAGATTTATTCACGCATACCAGAACCAGGGTACAGGCTAGATGCGTGGGAGGGTTAAGAGGATTCACCAGAGACAGAGCGGGGAACAGAACAAGCAGATTGGCCCAAATACACTGCTGAGGGGAGCAGCGGGTGAGACAGGAGAGGTCTGCTGCGCCATGTGGGCAGCTCCCTGGCCTGGGATCAAACTCATGCTGCAGAGGCTGTGGATTGCTTCATAGTGCTGTGCTTAACCCCTTGCGCCACAGGGAGGCCCCAAAATAAATCAATCTTTAATTTAAAAAAAGTCTTCATGTTTTTAAGTGTTTTTTAAAACCCCATTTAGTTAATTATATGGTAAGAATAGGGAATTATAGAATTATAAAGTATTAATAACAAAAATGGCATTTATATACATTAAAAATTGCAATGAATAGCATAACAACAGATCATGAGTGCCTTGTAATCAGCTGTATTTAACATTTTAAGGCCCAAAATTTAAGGTTTACCACTTTTCCCTAAAGTTCTTGAGAAATTATATAAATATTTCAGTGTCAAAATTTTAAATAACATTCATTCTTATTTTTAAAAATAAGAATTGTACAGAAGAATTCTTACAATATAAGATTGTACAGAAGTTTGACTAGTTATTTTGAAAAGGTCGTCCACAGAGTACTTTTTCTCAAGATGTAATTATTACAAAGCAGATACTACCTTACAAATATAATAGAAATGTTTTCTAACTTGCCTCCAAAAAGACTTAGATTTTAACAAGACTTTTATAATTGAGATTTTAAATTACAGTCAACTTAATAGCATTTTAGGCATATACTATTAGGAGTAAATTAAGGAAACTAGAATGTATTTCTCTCTCTAGAAAATTGGTGGTCACAGAAAAGAATTCTGGTTTCTCTCAGTCTACCTCTGTGAAGCCATTTCTAAAATACATATAGTACATAGGCATTTAGTTAACAAAATTACACTCCTAGACTACAGAAGTAATTTTCTCATTTCCATTACACTTTTTTTGAGGAACTACCTATTCTACACAAACTCTAACATAGATAGGTTCAAACAGTAACGAATATGGAATAAATTTCTATGACAAAGTCAGGATTATGAGTAGGTGTTCTCTCATCTGAGAAACAGATCCTTTCAATTTTCTATCAGCATGCTGAAAGAACTTGAAACCTAGCACACAGTAAGGTGTTTCTGATTTTGATTTGTAATTTACTTACTAGTTTATAAACAAATATAGGTTGAATATGGTGCTTTGTGTGAACCAAATATATACTTAAAATCACATACTACTGTTAAGAAATAGTAACCACAGCCCCACTGAGCATTTGTTTGCCTCAAGCTGGTATTTCTTTAGTTCAGAGTTATGGTTTATTCCTAGAATATAAGATTCAAGAAAGACTAAGCATACAACTCTTTGCTCCAAATAGAATGAAAAGATCATACCATCACGGGGTTGTGTGGGAAGGGTTTAGTGATGTGGTATAATAGTCAATGTATTCTTCACAATTCCATTAAATGAATGAAATGATATTTGTCATTATTACTGTTTTAAGAGAAGTTGAATCAACTTGGAATATCTAATAACACTTCTATCAAGAAATGCCATAGTCCTAAAAGACTTTTGACTGAATTATCTTTACACTAAATTTGCTTTTATAAAGGTATATGAAATACAAATTTCCCAAAGGGCCTTAATTGACCTTTAAGACCAAAGTCAATGTTTATGATCCTAAACATAAATACCTTATTTTCATCAAGGGTGATGCTAAATTTAGATGCTAAGTTACATAGTACTCATTTATTACTTGAACATGTTCTCTAAAATATGTATTTAATAAGAAAAGTAAAAGAAGAAATTAATATTTGAATGCTTACCCTGTACTTGTTTGGGCATCTTTTTAACCCTAACAATCCTATGGGACAGAAATACACACATTTTACAGGCGAAGAAACTGAGGTTCACAGATACTAATTTGCCAAGAATGCGCAGTAAATGGGTGTTTGAGGTTAAAACTAAGTTCTGGCCCAAAAACTTTAATGGCTCACTGGACCACTGGTACTTTGCAAATCACAGAGTTGCTTTGAAACCAGGGCCTAGACCTAAAACTATGATTCTGTGATGCCAATTTAAGATGATCTATACCAGACCATGAAGCACATATTTATCTCTACCAGTACCCTAAATATCCTACCAACCTGTTTGGAAAACAAGTTTAATTTTAGTATAATTTGGAAGAATTATAGAAGTGTTTCTAAATACTGTTTCCTTTCAACTTTGATTAATTTTGCCTCTTGGAATGGTGTTAGAATAAAAAAAGAAATTCTTATTTGTAGTACAACTATGTTTTAGAATAGATGAATCTTAAGTAAACAATCCAAATAATATATAAAATCCTTAAATTGGTTAATTAACATTTAAAATACAACATAATCCAGGCCTCCCTGGTGGCACAGGGGTTGAAGACAACGCTATCAAGCTATCACCAGCCACCAGCCACTGCAGCGCAAGTTTGATCCCCAACTGTCCAGGGAGCAACCCACATGGCTAAGCAGATCTCTCCTGTCGCGCCCGCTTCTCCCCTCAGCAGTCTATTTTAGTAGATCCTCCTGTTCTGCTCCCCACTCTGTCTCTGGTGAATCCTCTCACCCCCCGCACCTCTCGCCTATACCCCAGTTCTTGTATGCATAAATACTAAAAAAAATACAGCATAATCCCCCACTGTCTATTTGCAGCTGCAAGATACCTGCTGCTATACAGAAATCATGTATTATTCATGGGGAGAAAGAAAACAAGCAGTTGTAGTGGTCATCTTTATTTTCATTGATAGTAACTTATCCTCTGTGATCAGAAAAAAAAGAGATTAGTGCCCCCAGACTAAACTTGGGAAGTACCTGAAAATGATCACAGATGTGTAAGATGCTTGCTTTATTAACAATCTTACCCTAAGTAGTCTCTTAACTGGTCCAAAAAACAATTCTTTAACAAAAATGAACCCTAGAATAGAGACAAACCCAAAAGATAGTTTTCCATGATACCTGTACAATGCCAATCAATTTCCACTTGAGTCACAGAATCCATTTCATTGAAGCCTATTATCATTTCTAAGTCTATTCTTTCCTTTTCTTCTAAAACATCTTAGTCATATATTTGTCAGTTTTTTTCCTAAAAGTCACAGCATAGTAGTCAGGCACAGGCAGTATGGCGTCCAGCCATCCCCCAGCAACAAAGTCTAGTAACAGACATTTTGCCTGTTATTTCTGACCTCATTTTCCTCACCCATTGGTATTTACCTCATAAAGTTGTTGTGATGATTAAATAGGTGAGTAAATAATATAAGACTTATAAGTACTGCCAAAAACAAAGTAAATGCTCAAAAAAGTCTGAACTATCATCATTCTAGTTTTCCCATCAAACCAACCAGTATCCTAACCAACCTAGAGGTATTACCATGGAAAATGAAGTAAGAGGTAAAGGATAAAGCATGTTCAGAAACATTGCCTTGTTAACTTTATACTAAGCTATAATGATTAAATGTAGAGTATAGACATTATAATCATTTCCTAGTTAGTACTGAGAATGGCTATGTATTTGGGTGTAAATCCATTTATTTGGAAAATATAAAAAATTACTGTTAATATTTGTCTCACTTTTTCTTTGGACTATCCTTTAAATTTTCAAGAGTGCCACATAATTTTATAGTTATGTTTATTATAGCTAAATACTCAGAGTTGTAATTTTGAAATAAATTTTGCTATGAATAAAGAAAAAAATCTACTCAGAAAGTACAGTATATACAAACTCATGGTACTTTTCCAAATATTACTAGCATACTAATTATTTTGTAAAGTTCTTTCTTACACATAGGATCTAAAATGCAAAGAAAAATGAAACTTTTATTCAAAACAAATAGAAGCAATACTGGCTCCTATATGCTAAAAATACGAGTTTTTTTTTTCTTAAGCACTCTAGATACAAATATTAACTGTATGGGCTGAGAATGTTTAATTTTCAATATAATTCAACAAGGTACACAAGTAGAGCTCTACAAATATATCCCTTATAATAATTATGTAAAACCATTTTATCATAAATACTACCAAAATCCTGTGAAAAACAAACTACAAACACATTTTTTAAAGAATTTCTTAGTTATAACAACTACAAAAGCAATTATCATTTGTTTTTTAAAAAATGAAGGGCAGTATAACGTAAATTCGAGTACTGCAAAGTTGGCTCTTGAGGATGCAGTCTTCAGTTCATATAAGGTACTAAATACTCTCTCAAAAATAACAAGTTATTATATATATTTAAAGTCTTGAGCTAGAGCTCCAGAAAAAAATTAAGGAGATGAAAAGTAGATATGTAGAAATAATGGTATAAAATGATTTTTATACAAAATGTACCACTGTTCAAATGTGTAAGGCTTAATATGAATATTTTTGAATTGTACTTGCTTCACACAATTTCTTACGAACTCTCAAACCATTCAAAATTCAGTATTACTGAAACATTTTGATATTTCTGAAGTGGTATAGGATGGTATAGGATGGTACATGGTATAGGATGCAATTTAATGTAAACTTATCTATACTGTTCCACCCAATAAAAATAAAACCTTTTTGAGTTCAGGAAAGAATGTATTTTTCAATGTTTGATTTCTATATAAATTCAACTATGAATTGGCCCTAGTTTAAACAGAAGACACAAAAGAGACAAAATGTATCAAATATTTCAAGTCTACACTATTCAATTACACAGTTAAAATTAATTTTCATGTGAAAGTAAAGTGCTTTAAAGTAAAAAATGTTTTTGTACAGGTATTATTCATATTACTAATATTTAATATCCAAATATTTAGAATTTTCTAAATTAGTTCCAATTTACCCATTTCCTTTGAAATGTATCCTGCCACAATGTAAAAAAAAAAAAAGGTCTACAGAATGGTGACATTAGACACATCATATTTTGTGGGGTGGACCCTTAAACTGAGACAAAATCTTTATTCAAAGCTAGAGATATTTTATTTCTTGCACATGCTCAAAGTAACTAATATCAACTCACATTTTCTGTAGGCCTCAAAGAATTTTTATTTAACATAATGAGAGGTTTAATAACTTATATTAAAGACTATGTAGCACTCTTCTGTTGCTCTTCACCAACTATTTTTATGACGATAACTCCGAGATCTGGAATGTGATCGAAAATGAGAATGTTTTGCTGTTTGTGCTTTAGTTTCAGAATTGGTATACCCTTTGGGAGATTTACACGGGGATCTTGCTATGGAGTCAGAATGTCTTCCATGTGATCTTGATTTTGTTCCTGAGCTAGTCTGCTTTTGAGGTGAATTTGATTGTGATTTTCCTATTGACTTGGACCTTTTTTGTAGCGACTTGGACCTTGACCGTCCTCTAGAACCAGAATTCCTTCTTGGAGTTCTTGACTGCCTTGCTGAGGTAGACCGCCTTGGTAGTGATTTGGAACGAGATTTAGACTGGCTGTAAGAAAATCGTCTGTGCCGAGACCTGTAAACATCCATAATGTTAGAGTACATATTTCACACGAAACAGTTAAATAGGACAGAGAACAACATTTTTAGGAACTTGTATACTTTTTTTTCTAATTTAAATTTTATTTTTATATTCCCCATACAATTACAACCCCCTTATTTTTACCCCAAGCCCTCCTTTCCCCGCCCCCCACCCCCATAGAGTAGGAACTTGTATACTTTACATGACATTAGTTATGCTTTTATTGGATAAACTAAACAAACCAATTCTAATTGTATTATGCATGGTTTTGGCTCAAATAAAACCTGACTATATGACCAAAAGATTTTTACTTTGTTGGATACTTTATGATATGGGTCAATTTTGGAAAATGTCATATATTTAGTCTGGGTTACACAACTCCTTAGAGGTAGGAAAATCTGGAGAGGAAACTTATCAAATAATGCTTATAAAAACAAACACCTAGATGCAGGATTTCTCTATCCTATCATGGATTCAGCTTGTACTAGACTAATCCTTCCAGGGAAAACAGCTGTTTAGAAAATCCAGAAACATTAATAAGGCACTGGAGAATAATCAACATAAAACAAAGTTAAGGAGCTAGCTATAAGCCATGATTCTTTTACTAAGACCATTTTCCATATGCCAACATGGGAACTGACCCAAATCAGAAATGACTATTTTCTAAGCTGAAGAGACAGAGGTCAGAATTTAGGGTTATCAAATTGGTTGAGACTTGAGAGGCAAAATTCCAGAGATGAGGGAATTGCAGAAAGGAAAAAAAACACCCTAGATCTGCCTACAAATTCTCAAGTCACAGGCCATTTTCTAAGCTATACATGTATAGGATGAGACTCTAAGAGGTTAGCAGCTGAAGATTCAAGAACTGAGATGAAATTTTATCAAAAACACAATGCTAGAGAGAGAAGCTAGAATTCAAGTCTCAAAAGTTCAAGGTATCATGTAACAACCCAGGCTTTCATTTAAGAACCCAGAAGAGCCATATCCTGCAAGTAAGGGTCATGCCCAAGGAATAAAGCTAAAACAGATCAGCCATAGCAATGCCTCAAGCGAAGCTCTCTGATCTGTCAATACTCTGCCTGTTAGAACAAAACAATTTTTTTTGAGGTGGTAACATCACCCAAAGTTTGTATAATTTTTCAACAGCATACACCATTCAATAAAAAAGCGTAAAAGGTGTGTGTGTGGGGGGGGGAGACTAACAACTAAGGAAAATAAAAGATAAAAGAAACAGAGCCAATATGATTTAGATATTGGCATTATTCAGACAGGATTTTTTTTAATGATTGATTTTTAAAATTTATTTATGCATACAAGAACTGGCGTATAGGCCACAGGTGTAGGGGGTGAGTAGATTCACCAGAGACAGAGTGGGGAGCAGAACAGGTGGATCTACTGAAACACACTGCTGAGGGGAGGGGAGCAGTGGGCAAGACAGGAGAGGTCTGCTGAGCCATGTGGGTTAGCTCCCTCGCCCAGGATCAAACTCATGCCACATTGGCTGGTGATAGCTTGATAGATCCCTGAACTACCAGTGAGGTCCCCTAGATAGGAATATTTTAAAGGTTACTGTGACTAATATGTTCAAGAAAATAAGGGGGAAAGTGACAAAAATAGACAACATAGATGCAAAAAGATGGAGAATTTCCACACAATATTATAATCTATAGAAAGACAAAGGGACATTTTAGAACTGAAAATATATACCTGGATTTAAAAAGTCATTACAGGGACTTAATCCATGTAATCCATCCATTACATGGAGATACCTAGAGGTCTAGCTACAGCAGAAGAACTGAAAAACATCCTACTGAAAGTCAATGAGAAAAAAGGAATTTTTAGAAATCTAGAAAAGGGGCCCCCCTGTTGGCATAAGTTAAGTCTCAGCACTATCAAGCTCTCACCAGCCACTGCAGCTTGAGTTTGATCCCCAGCCAGGGAGCTGACCCACATGGCACAGCAGACCTCTCCTGTCTCACCCGCTGCTCCCCTCACAGTGTATTTCAGTAGATACAGCTGTTCTGCTCCCCACTCTGTCTCTGGTAATTCTACTCACCCCCATCCCTGCACCTCTAGCCTACACCCCAGTTTTTGCATGCATAAATAAAAATAACTCTTTTTAAAAAATCTAGAATAGAGCATGAGAGACATGTGGCGCAAAGTCATATGGCCAAAAGGAAAAAGTGAGTAAGAGAAGAAATAATATTTAAAGAGATGGTCAGAATTTTCTAAAATTAATGAAAGGCATCAACTTATAATTTCAAGATGAGTAAATCCCAGGTAGAATAAATACAAATAAAATGGCACTAGGCATTGCACCGCAGAACTGCTGTAAACCAAAGTCAGAAAAATCTGAAAATGCACTGGAGAATAAAAGACATATTACCTTCAAAGGAGTAACATTAAGACTGACAGCTGACTGTGGATATCAGAAAAACAATAGAATTAGACTAATAAGAAAAATTCCTGCCAGCTAACATTCTATCCTTAGCAAAAATATCCTTCCAAAAAATGACTATAAAATGAAGATTTTTTCAGGCAAACAAAAGCTGAAGGAATTTATTTAAAAAGTTAAAGTTAAGTCTGTCATGAAATAAAAACATTGGAAAACAGTCAATAACCCCAAGTTAAATAACAATACCTGTAAATGCAGAAGAGCTTATTTTCCTGTTGAAGTTGATTTTTATACACAGTAAACAAAATGATTCTGGTGGCCTGTTTTTAAAACCTATTAATATTTAAAATGATTTCCAGAAGTAATAGAAAATTAGATTTTTCAATCCTCTTGTATTCTGTACTTACTCTTTAAGGCTATCAGACCGTCTTCTATTTCTCCCCCATGAAGAACTTCTACTTCGAGTTCTTCTCTGGCTGGGGCTTCTTGATCTTCTATGATCGCTTGGAGAACAAGGGTGACGTTCTTTTGATTTCATTTGACCTGGTGCTAGAATATGAAGTACAAGATTTATAATTTCTAACCTGAAAACCTCAAGTAATAGCCATACAAATATTATCTATGATACTGTGATTTATAATAATATTCATGATACATGTAGCATGAATTATATATATTCGTTTTATATATATACACACACATACATACGCATGTGTGTATTTATATATAAGGCTCTGCCCCAATTCCTAACACTTTAGTCCTAAATGTAAAGTCCTAAATGGTAAGAACACTAGGAGCATCTTTTGCTCTAAAATTTGGTCTTTGACCCAAGTTCCTGGAAGTTTTTCTATTTTACAGTATTATTTTCTGATTAAATTTTAAGAAGATATCATTGCTAAAACAAATAAACAGGATCTATGTTTAGTCACACTTACTTTTGCGATCACCTTGTGCAAACTGTATTTCAATTTGACGGCCACATACCCACTTTCTATTGAGATTATAAAGAGCATCTTCAGCATCTCGAACATCTTCAAATATGACTAGCTGTTAAGGACACTTTGAATATCAGATATCAAGTAGAAATATTATTTTAATGAATTATTTACATGTGACATGAAATTAATAGGAAAAACAAGTTCAAGTTATTAAGTTCACATCTCTAATATGAATAATAGGTTAAACAAATTAACTTTTATTACCAAAACAAATGCTTTGCTATCATTTGGACAAATGAACCAAAAAAAATGCAGAAGCAAACATGTAACTGTACCTCTAACATATACATTAGTGTAATTGAGGTATACACATATAATTTGAAACATAAGAAAAAAATAAGTCCAATAAACTGTTTAGGACTCACTCCTTTCTTTCTTTCAGGTTTTTCACTGAAAAAAATCAGCATGCAGAAATGTTTATTCTGAAATTAAAATTATTCCTTCATTAAATGGCTTTTTTATAATACTTAGGAAAAATTACTTATAAACGAAATTGTACACACACTAGTGAGCTAAAACATTGTATTTTCAAAACTTATTATCTTTTAAAAATGATTGTGTTTACCTCTGAATATGCTTTAAAATACCTTTATGCTTTTACTACTTAGTATGTTATTAAAAACAAACCATAAAGCCAATCTGCAGACATCTAAAATTACATGTATTGGTTTGTCATATTCCACTAAATTCCCTTATCTATATGAATTAACTAATTATAAATATAAATATCCCTAACTAAAATGGAAATAAGGTATATAAAAAGAATAATTAGCTGTATTTCAGGAGGTTCACTGGTTTAATTATTTTTTTTAAATAGAAAACAGAAAAAGCTCAAGAAATGCAACACAAAATGAGACTGGCAATTACCTCAATGAAACTTGATCTTGAACCTTGACCTTTACTCTTTAAGGCTTGCGAGATGGACTTTATAAGGACGCAGAACCAACAAAATCAGACTTGGCTTTGACTCTGGAACTCTGAATAAATGTAGGAAAGCCGAAGTCTCAACCTGGTGTTGGCTTTGTCTTTTGCTTGATAAAGACTTCCCCTCTTCCAGGTCTTTATATCTGTGTCCACCCTCCCTCTTTACTCCTTGACGCTTGAACTTTAGGTGTCTTTTGTCTCGCCTGCTCGGTTTATGCTTGGATTCTAGCTAACAGGTTGGTTCAAAGTGGGGGGTGCTTGCCAGCTACTGTGGACTGCTTTAGAATTTCTGAGATAAAGAAATAAACACATTTAATTAGGCAATTTTAATTTTATAACATATGCTCCTGAACTTACATGTAAGTTCATACACATGTATGTAGTATATTCTCATGCACACAGTAAAATAAAGGATATTGAACATAAGCAAATCCTCTTGGGCGGCGGGTGTAGAAGTCAAGTGGAATGTAAACGTCTACTATAGGGCCATATCGACCAAACTCACGACGCAAGTCCTCAGGCCTGAAGTGTTTTAGAAATAAGGCAAAGAAATATGAATAGCTGGATTAAAATGTTTTGCCTACAGAATCCAGTTGAAACCTTAAAAAAATGTATATTATCTAGACCAGCTTTTATCTTAGTTTGTCTTTCATAAGAATCAACCAGGGTTAACAAAGGAGGAAAAAAAAGAAAGAAAACAAATTCTCAGGTCTCACTTTTGGAGATTCTAATTCAAGAGGCCAGGATTGGGGGCTAAAAATCTGTATTTTTTTTTTAAGATTTATTTTTTATTTATGCAATAGCTGGGGTACAGGCCAGAGGCATGGGAGGGTGAGAGGATTAACCAGAGACAGAGTGGGGAGCAGAACAGACAGACAGACCGAAAGCACTGCTGAGGGGAGCAGTGGGTGTGACAGGGGAGGTCTGCCACGCCATGTGGGAATCTTCCTGGCTGGCTGGGAATCGAACCTGCGCTGCAGAGGCTGTGGACAGCTTCACAACACTGTGTTCAACCCGCTGTGCCACTGGGGAGGCCCTGAAATCTGCATTTTTAAAAGCACTCTAGATGGCTATTATGTTTTCTTAGGTTCAGGAAACACTGATCCAGTATATCCATCTTAGAAAGTTTATTCTTATTAAAGAATTTTCAACTGTCAGGCCTCCCCTGGTGGCGCAGTGGTTGGGCGCTGGGCTGCGAAGCTGCCCACAGCCTCTGCAGTGCTGGTTCGATACCCGGCCACCAGCGAGGGTCCCACATGGCACACAGACCTTTCCTGCTGCGCCTGCTGCTCCCTTCAGCAGTGTATTTCGTCAGTCTGCCTGTTCTGTTCCCCGCTCTGGTGAATTCTCTCACCCTCCCGCGCCTCTGACTGTACCCAGTGCTTGTATAAATAAATAAATCTTTAAAAATAAAAAGAATTTTCAACTGTCAGTACAGTTATAATTATGAACTTTTGTTAAGAATACATTCATTTGCTTCATTATAATTTCATGTTTATATTAATTTTGTTTTCAGATAGCAAGAATTAGATCTAAAGAAGTCTTAAAATTATTTCTCAACTGTTAAAGAAAAATGGATGTTTTACCATTACACATAAAGTAAAATAACTATTGCATTCTCAAGTACGACATGTATTTTAGCCTCCTAATTCCGTCTGATAGGTACTGAAGCAGGGACAGCAAAGAAATACATAGCATGCATGCTATTTCTCTTCATAACGCTACACTTTAGAGACAAAACATTTACCATTCATTAATAGCCTACAGTTATAGTGCAGTTATATGTTAGCTACTGTTCATCTTTAGACCACTTAACTCACAACTTTCAGATAAGGGCACAAACAGATAAACTTGCCTAAAGTCACCAAGTCAGTGACAGATCTGGAATTAAATTCCCATAACCTTACACTAGTGTGTGTTCTTAACCACTATAACCTACTACTACAGCCTCATGGGGATCTTAGAGACTCAGCATCAATAACACAAAATATGGTTCAGAAAAAATTAATGCTCCCACACTATAGAAAAAGACTCCAAGATAACTGGAAGCCTTTAGCTTGGGCAAATGGAAGAAAGATGGGATCAGAGACAAAAATCAAAGTGGACTCCCTGGTAGTGCAAGAGCTTACGTCTCATCACTCTGAAGCTATCTGCAGCCACCGCAGCTCAAGTTTGATCCCGGCCAGTGAGCTAACCCACATGGCTCAGCAGACCTCTCCTGTCTCACCCTCTGCTCCCCTCAGCAGTGGTATTCAAGAAGGAGAAGAGAGATAGAAGCAGCTTTTAGGACAGAAATGTTGAATTTGAAGTGATCCACATGGATTCTGTAAGCAACTGGAAATTGTGATCATACAAATTATATTAACTTTCCCCTCAAGACTAGAAGTCAATGATTAAACCTAGATGTGAATTTAAGAGTTACTACATAAAGATTCAACTGACACTGAGTAAGCATCCACCAAATATCAGACAGTACAATCGATGATACACTATATTTTTATTATTTTAAAAATTTTTTAATAATTACAATAGCAAGTTTGTCTGCCTCCATGCTAGGTTACTGCTTTAACGGATAGTACCAATGTGGTTTTCTTTCATTTATTCATTCATTCAACAAATACTTACTGAACATGCACCAGGCTCTAAGGATATGGTGAGATGAAAAACACAATTCCAACTCCCATAAAACAGTCTACAGGGTAAAGATTCTCAGCCATTCCTGGAATATTGCAATCTTCTGTGAAGGAATGTTAATGTAACAGACACCAGCCTGGTGCATTAGCTTCAGTAACATTTAATTTTTTTTAAGGGTTTCACTGGAAATTTTTTTTTTAATTTACTTATTTATGCGTACAAGAACTGGGGTACAGGCCAGAGGTGTGGGGGAAGATTCACCAGAGTGGGAACAGGAGGGTTGATTGAAATACACCGCTGAGGGGAGCAGCAGGCAAGTACAGGAGAGGTCTGCTGTGCCATGTGGGTTAGCTTCCTGGCCAGAGATGGAACTCAGGCTGCAATGGCTGCAGACAGCTTATTAGTGCTGAAACTTAACCCCTTGCACCACCAGGGAGGCCCCTCACCGGAAATTCTAAGACTCGGAGTTGAGAATCATTTCTAAACCAGATATCGTCACCATTATATCTTAGTACCTAATATAGTTGCTTGGCATACAGAAGGTGTTCAATACATATTTACTGTATCAATGAATGAAAGCATTTTTTAAAAAGATTTATTTTTATTTATTTATGCATACAAGAACTGGGGTACAGGTCAGAGGTGCAGAGGTGAGAAGATTCACCAGAGACAGAGTGGGGAGCAGAACAGGTGGATCTACTGAAATACACTGCTGAGGGGACAATGGGGCAAGACAGAAGAGGTCTGCTGAGCCATTTGGGTAGCTCCCTGGCCAGGGATGGAACTCATGCTGCAGTGGCTGCCAATAGCTTGATAGTGCTGAGACTTTACCCCCTGTACCACCAGGGAGGCCCCTGAAGAACACATATTGTTATCAAGGAGTCTGAGGCTGCAGTTAAGGAGACAGTGAGAGAAGTTACCTTACAGAAAGGTACAAAGGTACATACAGCCCATTTAGCAAAGCTAGAATTCAAATCTAGCTTTTTTTTTTTTAAATCTTCTGAGTTAACAAATACCACCAGGCAAATGTGAGTGTCTGATAGGAAAAGCATCCTAGATAGCAAAAAAAAAAAAAAAAAAAAAAAAGGGTGGGGGGGATGCAACAATGTGTATCACGGATGTTTGGAGTCCCAGAAATGAAGGGTGACAGGAGTGTAAAGGAGCAGATAGCAGATATCAAGAGTTGGTTCCCATTGCTTCTACCCTATTACCTGTTTTCAACTATTACCTGTTTTCATTTATTTTTGTAATTTTGGTGTAATCTATTTTGACATTCAGAAAAGTAGAGGGAATAAAACAAATATCCATGTATCCACCAACAAGATTTATTGTATCTCAATACTTGCCCAATTTGCCTTAACTTGTAGAACTTATTTAAATAAGATCCCGGCAGCACTCTGTCTGCCCCCCTGTGACTATGCAGGTGCCTCTCTCTCCCTCTGCAGGGCAGCAGCCCTCCAGCCTGCCCGTGACCTGTATACCATGTCGGGACTTCTCACTGACCTCCCTCAGCAGAGGCAGCTCTCCTCAAGGCTGCCGGCCTGCAACCATGCAGGCCTCTCTAAGCAAACCTGTCCCCTTTGGGGCAGCTTTTCCTGCCACTTGTGTCTATGCAAGTATCTTTTACTGTTCTATCCCTTTTCTAATAAACCTGCTCTTTAAATATAAAAAAAAATAAAATAAATAAGATCCCTCCCTCCACCTCAGAAATACTCATTGATATTCATTATTCCCATGCATAACTTTGCCTTTTTGCCACAAATGCATATATATCCATAAATATACCTTTTATATATCAAATTATATATATGTGGTATCAGACTATTTGTATAATTTTGCATTCTGCCTTATCCTCTCTCCATATGGCTCTATAGTAATTACTTAAACTCTGTTATTATTATGAATAAACCACAATTTATTCATAGATCTTTCTGCTCATGAGTATTTAAGACACTTTTTGGAAAAACTGCAAACTGCGCTGCAGTGGACATTATGATACCTGTGCTTTCCAGAGCCCTCTGGGGTTCTCTGGGATCTGTCACTAGCAGTGCAATTGGTGGGTTGGACTACATATTTTCCAAAGTAGTCAAATTAACTTACATTCCTCAAAACATAATGAAAGTTTGTGTTGCTCCATCTCATTAATGTCTTTAACTCTTTGTCATTCTGAAGGACGTAAAGTGAAGGGGCATCTCATTTTTATCTTAATTTTAATTTACCTACTGACAGTGAAGAGCAACATCTTTCCATGCTTTGGGTTATCTTGTGTTAACAATTAAGAGTAGAATTTCTGGGTTAAAGAGAATATATATATATTTTTTACTTTCATGAAACTGCCAACAGTTCTGCAAAGTGATCATACCTTTTTATTCTCCCACTAATAATATATGAGTTTCTGTTACAGCAATCTTTGTAAGTACTTGTAATGCGAGTCTTTTTAATTTTAGTATTCAAGTGGTTATTAAATGGAATCTCACTGTGGTTTTAATTTGCATGACCATTTTTCCATGTGGTAATCAATCATTCATGTTTTTTACCTAATTTAATGTTTACCTTTTCATTACTGAATTATAAAAGTTCTCTGTAATTCTCAGCATTTTGTCATATATAATTTTAATAAATATTTTCTCCCAGCCTCTGCTTGCCCATTTACTTCCATTAAATGCATTTCAAATTTCAAATTAAAGTAGAAATTTAAATTTTGGTGAAACTTAATCTTATCAATATTCTTTTTTCTTTTATGGTAATTGCTTTACTTTTTTTTTTTTTTTAAAGGTTTATTTATTTATTTATACAAGCACTGGGTATAGTCAGAAGCACGGGAGGGTGAGAGAATTCACCAGAGACAGAGCAGGGAACAGAACAGGCAGACTGACAAAATACACTGCTAAGGGGAGCAGCGGGCATGGCAGAAGAGGTCTCTCGCACCATGTGGGACCCTCACCGGTGGCCAGGGATTGAACCAGCACTGCAGAGGCCGCTGGCAGCTTTGCAGCCCAGCGCTCAACCGCTGCGCCACCAGGGGAGGCCCTGGTAATTGCTTTACTTTTATCTAATTGCCTGTTAAAATAGTTGCCTATTCCCACATCATGAAGATAGTCTAAATTTTCTTCTGAATGTTTTATAGTGTACATTTTGATCAATGATCCAGTTCAAATTATGAGGTGAGGTAGAGGTTCCAGTTTTTGTTTCTTTCTTCCTACATGGATATCCAGTTGTTACAGCACCATTTGTTGAAAAGACTTTTCTTACTCCACTGGTTTGGTTTGGTATCTTTTTCAAAAATCAACTGACTCTACAAAAGTGGATTATGTATGACTGTTTTACTGACATACTTTTCTATCCATATGCCAATATCATTGTCTTAATACATCTTTTTAGTAAGTCTTGAAGTGAAATAGTGTAAGTTTCTCAATTTCAGTAAACTTTTTCAAGATTATTTTGGCCATTCCAGATCTTTTACATATCAATCTATTTTTTTTTAAGATTCATTTATATATACAAGAACTGGGGTACAGGCCAGAGGTGTGGGAGGTGAGAGGATTCACCAGAGACAGAGTGGGGAACAGGCAGACTGACTGAAATACACTGCTGAGGGGAGCAGTGGGTGAGACAGCAGAGGTCTGCTGCGTCATGTGGGTCACCTCCCTGGTCAGGGATCCAACTCGTGCTGCAGTGGCTGCAGATAGCTTCATAGTGCTGTGTCTTAAGCCCTGTGTCATCAGGGAGGCCCCTCAATCTATTTTAGAGTTAGCTCATTAATTCTAATTCTATTTTTTACAGTGTTTGATCAGGAATGCCTTGATTTATAGTATAATCAATTTGGGTGAGAACTAATAATAATATTGTGTCTTTCAATTCATGAACATGGTATTTATCAAGTTATGTTGGCCCTCTTTCATTTCTTTTGGCAATATATTGTACTGTTTACTGCAAAGGTTTTTACATTTTTTTCACTTACTTATTCTTAAGTAACTTTTTTGATGCTAAAGTAAATGAAATAGTTTTTTAAATTGCTATTTTCAATTGTTTGTAATTTTTATAAGTTTACCTTGTACCCTGGTAACTCACTAAGACTCATTATTTCGGGCCTCCCTGGTGGCGCAGCGGTTGAGCGCTGGGTTGCAAAGCTGCCCGCGGCCTCTGAGACGCCGGTTCGATCCCCGGCTGCTCCCCGGCCACCACAGGAGGGTCCCACATAGCGCGCAGACCTCTCCTGCCACCCGCTGCTCCCCTCAGCAGTGTACTTCGGTCCTTCTGCCTGCTCTGCTCCCCGTTCTGGCTCTGGTGAATTCTCTCACCCTCCCGCGCTTCTGACTGTACCCAGTGCATGTATAACCAACCAAACAAAGAAACAAATAAATAAAACATGCCTCTATAAAAAAAAAAAAAAAAAAAAAAAGACTCATTATTTCTTGCCTTGTTACAATGGCTAGTACCTGTAATGACACATTGAGTGGAGGTTGTGAGATAGGGCATCCTTTCCTTATTCTGATTTCAGGAAGAAAGCATTCAGTTTTCATGTGTAAATACGTACCTATACGTTTCTCATAGATGCCCTTTATTAAGGGGAAAGTGTTCCATCTATGCCTATATTGCTGAGACTTATTATCCTGAATGTGGCTAAGTTTTGTTTAATTTATTTTTCCCATCAATATCAAAACATATAGCCTTATATAAGCAAAGAATGCTACTAAGTATGTCCAGGAGAAGTACCTGATCTTTACTCTCCAACCTAACATGTTATACATCAAAATGGGAATGTCATATCTGGGATTTGGCTATTACTTTGTTCATTAGAAAACTGTATCTGACATTTAAAAATAATTACTCTTGTACACCTTAAAAGGTAAAAGATATTGAAATAATATTCTTCCCAATCCATATCTTATTTCACCAGTGAAAAGAAACAACACAAATTATAAAATTTTAGAATTTATTTTTATTTATACTTTAATAGTCAAAGATATTTTCAAAAGATTTGAAATGTTTTTGCATGTTTTTTTGCATGTTTTTGCATGTTTTTTTAGATGTTATGTTACTAATATCCTACCCCCATCATCAAAGCACTCTAGGTCACTGGGTCTCCCCCCATTCCCCATTTGTTCCCACTTCCATACTCCCTCACCCCAATTCTATAGTCATATTTCTAGGGTTTGTTTTGGTTTAGTTATAAAACTTATTTTTAAAATCTTTCTTTAGTTCTTAAGTTCAATTTCACACCTAACAAATTTTACACTAACCTATGTCTTATGCTTTCTGCTATATATGAAAAAGTCTACTTCAAAAAGACTTTAAATAAAATTTGCCTTTGTTATAAAACATTTATTAAATAAAATTGGAAAACAGGAAAAATAAAGCAACCCAAATGGATTTCTTCCAGGCTCATTTTCTATATATAATTTTTCCCTTCTTCATTTTTGAATATAATTTATTCTGAATATATAGTTTTGTACCCTGTTTAACTTTAACCCTAATGATTTTTTTAAAGGATTTATTTTATTTTATTTATGCATGTAAGAACCAGGATGTAGGCCAGGGGTGCTGGGAGTGAGAGGATTCACCAGGGACAGAGTAGGGAGTAGAACAGGCAGATCTACTGAAATGGATTGCTGAGGATCTACTGGCAGATCTACTGAAATGGATTGCTAACGCTACCTGGTCAGGGATGGAACTCATGTCACAGTGGGTGGTGATAGCTTAATAATGCTTAGACTTTAACCACTGCACCACCCGGGAGGCCCTACAAACCTTTGAGATTTTGATTGTTCCCCCACCCCACGCCACCAGAGGCAGTGCCCAATAGTAGTGGAAAAATGGAAATCGAATCTCAATTATCTGTCTTGATTACTCAATGGTGGATTATTTAGAGCAGAGGTGTTTTTATTTAGACTGTACAACATCTAAACATTTAAAAATGTACTGAAACATGAAACTGCCAATATTTCATAGCTTTAGACCCACAAAAATGGGGATTTCATATAATGAAACTTAATTCAATATTCTGAAACCTTGTTTACACACACAAAATAGAAGGTTTGAAATCTTGAAATTTAGGAAAATGTGCAAACAATTCCAAATGTCTACACAGTAGTTATCAGCTGAAGCTTAGTAGCAGCTGCTGTCCCCTTTAAATAGCACCTGCTCTTTTCCATTAGTTAGTCTGTGCTATCCTATTGTGCCTTATAACAGACAACTTCACTAATTCATATTACCCTGGCTGGCCCCTATGGCCATTAGAATTAGAAATCTTTATTTTATTTTTTGAAGACATACTGAAGACATACTGGAGAGGCTTGATGCTTATTTAGTATCCAAGCGGTGTGTTTAAACGTAGGAACTTTTTCACCCTACCCAAATTATAATTTTTGCTTGTTTTCTATGCAGTGTATTGATAAATAAAGGCATCGCTTAGGTATTTATTAATGCATGTGAATTCACATACATAATTGTAGGGTGTGACATACATAATTGTTGTGACATACATAACTGCAGGGATCAAAGAAAAATACTTAACTTAGTGTTTAATACTTAATAATTAACAAAGGTAAGTTATGATGGTTACGCCAGATGGCTCTGGAGTCAAAAGGCTCCAATGCATATGTAGCTATGAAGCGCCGACATAATTCACTAAAACTGTGCGCTTCGGCTTTCCCTTTTGTCCAAAAAGATAATACTGCATATTTCTACAAGTTGGAGGGGGGTAAATTAAGTGTGGTGAAATAAAAATATCTATTAATGGCGCCCCTCCCCATTCTTTCTGGCTCCTATTAAAGTAAGTGTTATGTGAAGAAGTCATTCCTTGAGATCTATGTTTAGGCACTACACAGACAGCCCCAAAGTGCGGGGGATGGGGGTCAGATGGACGACCATCAGAACAGACCCGGGGTGTCTCCCCGCACCGTTCACATGGGTGTTTATACTGTATCCTGAACTTTAAAGAAACCCTACAGCCTCATTCACTGAGTTATCCTTTGTACCCAGAATAACACGGCGTGAACCCCCAGAATCAACCAACACTACCTGTAAACGGGCCATTACTGCGGGGAAGGAAGCTGAAGGCAGCAGGTACGCGCTGTCTCACAACACGTCCTCGCCAGACCCATTTTCTACTCACCTAGGAGGTGAGACTCGCGGCTCCATCAGGGAAACCACGACAAAGGGGCCGGAGCGCCGGCGCCCGCCGCAGCGGCAGCCGGAGGCGGCGGGGCCGGGGCCGGGGGCTGGCGGGCGAGGGGCGGCCGGGCGGGACGGGCACCCCCGGCCGGCTGCGCGCTGAGGGCCGGGCCGCGGGGCCACGCCGCGCAGGGGCGGAACGCCGGGCGGCGGGCGAGGCGCGAGCCCCGCACAGGCCGCGCGCAGCCCGGGAAGGCGCCTCCGCGGCGAGTCGGGCCGCGCCGAGGGGAGGGGCCGGGCGCGTCCGCAGGGCCTCGGCCCGCCGCGGCGCCTCCGCCGTTACCCCGCCCCTCCCCCGCGCCCCAACCTGCGCCCGCGGCTGCTCACCTGGTGGCGTCCGCGACATTCCGGACGAACAGGGAGGTGTTGGGGGGTCTCGTGTAGCGAGACATGGCCGCTCCCTCCGTTCCCTCAGCTCTGCCCGCGGCTGCCGGGCCCGCTCCTCCGCTCCGCGCCGCCGCCGCCACAGCCGCTCCCCGGCCCCCCGGCGCGACCCCCTCCCCTCGGCCTCGGCCCCGCCAGCGCGCAGCCGCAGAGGCGGGCGGGGGGGCGGCCGTGCGGCGCGAGCTGGCCGGGCGGACCGCGCGGGGGCGGGGCCCGCGGCCGGAGGGCTCCGGCGAGGCGCGGTGCTGTGGTCCTGGGGTCCCCGGGGGCGCCGAGGGCCCGAGCCGCGGGGCTCCTCCGAGGGCCCGGGGCTCGCGGGAGGGGATGGTGTGGAGGTCCGGGAGCCCGCGGAGATCTCGGGAGGGGCGGCGCCGGGGTCCCGGGGTCCTACGGTGCCCGACGGGGAGCGGCGCGGGCGCCCGGGGCCTCGGGGGAGCTGAGGAGGGGCCCGTGCCGGAGGCCGGGGGACCGGGGGTTCCTGGAGGGTCCCTCGCGGGCGCCCTGGCCGGTGGGGCCGACGCTGGACTCCCGGCCCGGGGGTCCGGGCGGGGCGCGGCTGGCGCTAGAGTGTGCCCGGGGAGTGGCGGCCGGGAAAGTCTGGGGGTGAGACCAGGGAGCCAGGGGCTGGGGGAGCCTGGCTGAGGGGGTCTGGCGCGGGGGTGGGTGGAGTTGACAGCCGCGTTCAGCCGCGCATCTGCCTTGCGGCATCTGTGGTCTTCATCCCTGCGGGTTTAGCCCAAGAACTTGGCAATTGGCAATTGTTCTGCCTCCAGTCCTTTCAGTCTTGAGCCTTGCTGGGATTTTCAAACTGTGAGATCTTGGTTTTGTTGTTTTGATTCTTCACCCATTATTTGCTCAAGACATAATGTTCACTCATTGGGATTTTTTTTTTTTTTAGCTCGAAGCACTGTCCTAGGTGTGGGATATAGCAACAAACAAAATAGGCCAAGTCCCAATCTTCATAGCAGTTCCATTCTAGAGAGAGGGACCGACAATAAAGGGACGAACAAATGAATACATGATGTGGTAGAAAGCAATGAAAATGCATTGGCAATTAAGCAAATTTAAGTTACCCTCCGCTCCAACATGTTTTAGTCTAGCCCCCTTTTAGTTACCTCCTGCCTTCACGTTTGCTCCTGTGGTCTGCAACAGCCAGACACCAGGACGATAACTAGGTAACTCATAATTATTAATAGCGTCTCTTTTGTTTCAGAAGTGGGTGGCTTTGGGAAGGGGGAGATAAGTAATATGGTGACCCTACTAGCCAACAGCCATCTCAAAGGCCATGAGATTCCCAAAGTCTGCAAACACTTCTGGAACAGTGGTCATTATTCAAAAAGGAGTCTCTGTGGTACATAGCAAAGGCAGGGTTAGATTGGGAATATAATGGGGGTGGGCAGGAGTCCTCTTCTTATGGAGCTTAAAATTTGATAGCAACGCAGAATCTAAGTACAGGAATTACAAATAAAAGATACAAACTATACCAAGAACTGTGAAAATAGCATTGTGCTGCTGAGAAGGGAACTTAGGGTGGGTGGTTGACTGGTGGTTGACCGGAGAACTACAAGGGTCACTGAAAAAGTCACTGGGGAAGTCTTGGAGAGATGTTGGAAGACATGCAAGCCATGCACAGGAACAGCGGGTGCAAAGGCTTTGAGGCAATATATAGGAGAGTAAAACTAGGGAAGAACAGGAGAATGAGACTGGAGAGCAGTCTGGGTTTTGGTAAGGAAGTTTGGAATATTGACTTTATTGGTTTGCTAGTGTTGTCACAACAAATTACCACAAATTCTGTTTTTTAAAACAGCAGAGATTTTATTCTCTCGCACTTCTGGAGGCCCAAAGTCTGAAATTAAAGTGTTAACTGTGTCACACTCCCATTGAAGACACTTAGGAAGAATCCTTTCTTGCCTCTTCTAATCTCTAGTACCTCCAGGAGTTCCTTGACTTGTGGCTGCGTTTCCCCCATTTGGACTCAGTCTTCTCAAGACCGTCTCTCTGGATATGTATCATTGGATTTAGGGCTCAACCCTGTAAAACAGGGTGATCTCATCTCAAGATCCTTAATTTCCCAAAGAAGTTAAGAGAATTTCCAAATTCTCTAATAATTATGTGACCTGATTATATCCCCAAAGACCTTTTTTCCAAATAAGGTCATATACCTGGAAGTCATGGGGCTCAAGACTTGGATGTATCTTTTTTAGGCCTCCATCCAACCCTCTATACTGACCTTGCACTGAAAAGCTACCTGACTTGATGGGAGGTGAGTGTTCTTATTAGCAATCCTGACATATAAAGTTGGGTAAAACTTCACTAGACTATGACTGCTGTGAACCTATTAAATATAGTTAATCATGTTACATTGTATAAATGTGTCAAAGCACCACACCCTATACCTTAAACTTACATTGTGATATGTCAATTATATCTCAAACTAAAACATTAAAATATTACAATTTAATGCTTCTCAATTTTTCCCTATAAAAAATGGAAAAATATTAAAAAAAAAAATAAGGAGCCTTCCTGGTGGCACAATGGGTTAAGTCTCAACACTATGAAGCTATCCGCAACCGCTGCAGCATGAGCTAGGGAGCCAACCCACTTGTCACAGCAGACCTCTCCTGTCTGGGCTGCTGCTCCCCTCAGCAGTGTATTTCAGTAGATCTACCAGTTTTATTCCCCACTCTGTCTCTGGTAAATCCTGTCATCCAACCCTCCCACCCACCCACACACACAACCCTCTGGCCTACACACCAGCTCTTGTATGCATAAAAAAAAACCTAATACGGTTATTTCTCATTTAGATACTATCTCTACTTTATCTCATTTATCAAAAAACAGATTTTAAACTTTTCATTGAAATCACAGTTCTATAAAGACTATAACAAGGAAAATTCAGAATCATTTTTCAACCCGTTAAAACTTACCTTGGTGGATAAGTTTTTAAAACCAGGCATCTATAAGTTATATTTAAATAGCAGCACATGTGAATTTATTTCTAATGTTTCAACCTTTACTCCTGAGACCTGTCTCTGAGGAAATTGCTACTAGCTAAATTGTTACTTAGAATGTAAGCACTTAGGACTTCTTCATCTCAAGTACATGCCCATTCTAAGCTGGCTGGCTTTTGTACTTTTTCTGTCACTGTGGAACATCTATTCCAGATGGTAAAAAGGAAAAAGACAACCCTCTGAGTTTCACTGGTAAATTTTGGGGAGAAGAATTTAAAAGAAGAAAATTACTGTTTCTGGGTTATTAATAATGTTTGAAATGTAAGGCCATCCTATTTCTAATTACCATGGGTAATCAAAAAATACCAAGGCCAGTCAAGACCAAGCAACATGTATTTGTTATTCTAAAGCAATCATATAGCATACAGGGCTGTAGAATATAACTTTTCTTCCATTTCTTAAATGGATCAAAACAGGCTAATTATCAGGTTTGTAATTGAGTCAAGTCATGAAAGACTGGTCTATTTTAATTAGATTAATGAACTAGATTAATTTTTGGCTGCTATAGTGGAGAACTAGAATTTATTGAAAATTAATTTTGCTTAGCTATGTATAAGTGTCTTGAAATTTGTGTGGTGAAAAGTAATTTAAATAAACAAATCCAGGATTAATGAAGTCACTGGCAGTGAATAATCTTAAACTCTGAACTCATTCTCCAACAGGTGGTGCTAGCTCTCCTCCAGTGAGAGCTGTCCTGTTCTATCCTTTTTCAAAATGTACCATGTCCTTGAAGGTGAAGAGTAACATGGTGATTTGTATAGAATATAGTGCAAACATTGTTCTAAATTTTAGCTTCCCATTTTATTTAAGGGAAAAACACCAAAAACAAAAAAAAGATAGTAAGCTTGGCCAGGGTGTGTTAACCGCTTGCTTTCTGCACAGTTTAGCTATGTAGTTTTACTTTGTTGACCCCCAAATATTAGTATCTGTAGGGTTTTTTATTTTATTGTTCTGTTTTTCAGGAGAGAGATTTTCTCTATCCTTCTGTGGAGGGTGGGTATAAGCCTAGCTGCTATTATTCTAGAAGTTAAGTAGGGGCATAAAGCTAAGGTTTTCATAATTCAATACATTTCATAATTCAATACAATTCTGACTTAACCTCCTACTTTACCTTTTGTCTTACTTCCCTGAAATAACCTGGGCACAGTAGAGGTCTGTTTCAATTTTTTTAGTGAATCTACCTAGCATATCATGGGAAGGGACAGATTTAGAGCCGGGTGATGCAACGTCAGAGCTGGCATCTGGAGAGCTGGTGGTTCCTTATAAGAACTTTCAACAGATTTTAGTTCTTGTCCAGGCCACATTCAAAGTGACAGGTGCCTTCAAGTCCACAGCTGTTCTTGACTTGTATTTTGACTTTTCTGACTGCAGGTTCTTTGTTTCACCTTCTTCTCTTTTATTAAGTCTCTGCTTGACCATCTGCTTGCCATTTTCCAAGTCTGAAAAGACTACATTCTCCAGCATCCCTTCCATCTAATTGTGGCAACATGACCAAGTTCTAACCAAAAACAAGTAAAAAAAAATGTTTCAAAATAGCCCTTTAAAGACATTTGATTCAGTTGACATATATGTTCTTTTATCCTTCTCTTTCTTTTTCCTTCTGCCCTGAAGGTGGACATGATAGCTGGAATGCCAGCAGTTATCTTGAACTCATGAGGAAAGAATCCACATATTGAGGATGGGAGAGTAGAGATAAAAGAATCACGATCCTGTGTGGCTTTGTGGTATCCTTGGACTAATATCAGACTTATTTTATATGAGTGAGAAATAATGTTCTATTTTATTAACTTAAATAATATTTGGGGGTTTGGATTAAATGCCATAAATCTAATCTTAGTGCATTCATCTTTTATTCCACCATGTTAATGTAATATTTTGTGGTGACAAGAAGCCTAGAGAACATTCATAGAAGTTGCCAAGTTACTGAATACCCTAAATTATTCCTCAAACAACTTGGAGAATGAGATCTCCCATCTCCTAGTTCAGAGTGTCCTCTGTGTAATAATACCCATAACTAGGACCACGGGATGTCTAGAATTAGGGGCAGGAGGATTGATGTATCTAAAATTTGGGGCATTTGGGCCTCCCCGGTGGTGCAGCAATTGAGCACTGGGCTGCGAAGCTGCCCGCAGCCTCTGCAGCGCCGGTTCGATCCCCAGCCACGGGCGAGGGTCCCACATGGCGCGCAGACCTCTCCTGCCACCCGCTGCTCCCCTCAGCAGTGTACTTCGGTCCTTCCGCCTGCTCTGCTCCCCGCTCTGGCTCTGGTGAATTCTCTCACCCTCCCATGCTTCTGACTATCCAGTGCTTGTATAAATAAAATAAAAATAAATCTTTAAAAAAAATAAAAAAAAATTTGGGGCATTTAACTAAGAAAAAGAATACAAAATCGCAAATACAAAATTTGATGCTCTCTTAGGTGGGTTTCTAGAATAACCCTGAATGTTCCTTAGTCTAATCCCTGAGATGAAGCAAGTGATTTCTTGAGGGCAGGCTCTCAGGAAATTTTAGGAGAGTGAGGGATGCAGGATAGGTCAGGAGAAGGTAGGCAAAGGTGTGGCTTCAGAAGACATCTAGCCTTGACCTAATCTTATGGAGCTCTCTGGACTATGAACTTACCTGCCATGAGGCAAGTGCTTTTATGCCTGAACATGTAAGTCATGGGGTAGTTGAGGCTCTCATGCATCTGCAGGCAAGATGATTTCCCTAAGCCATGGGAAAACAGAAGGTATAGACATGAGTCCCTAGACATCAACCCCTTCACAACTGGGAGATGGGTGCACTGACTTGCTGAAGTGAATCAAGACAGAAAAGCAGGAGTTCTTGCCATAGGAACAAAAGAAGAGGAAATAGTGATTTAAAATTTATAAAAGTTGATAAATACTGTAACTATCACAAAATCCAGAAAAAATATACCTGGCACCTCTCTATAACACTATTTCTCCTGTCTTTCCTTTTTTTTTTTTTTTTTCTCCATAGCCTTTTATTGTTTCTAGACATGAAAATGGTTTTGTACTATTTTCTATAGGCAGCACAGAAAGATAATTTAGTCTAGTATGAGTGATAGACTAAAAGGTGAATCAGCATTTATTATTACTATTATTGACAGTTTTGAAAAATGTTAGCTTCATAATTTATCACTAGTGTGTATATTTTTAGGATGATTGCCAAGTATGGTAAAGCCTCTATCAATTTTTTTTCACACATGAGTTATAAGATATGATATTTCAAGTTTTTGTGGGTAGTGAATCTTAAATTTTCTTTGAATTGGCCACATTCATTAACTGGTCTGTCTCCCATGTCTTGTCAAAGTGATACAGAATTATTTTATGTTACCTTTATTGATGTCAGTAATTTATGTTCAATCAACAGGAAATTAAATTTCCTTTAAGTGAGTGACATATTATCAAACTTTGTCAAGATCAGGTGTGTCAGATAGGCTAAGACTCGACCTAGTCCTTTGCATTTATCCATGTGACTCCACAGACAGATGTGCACACTGTGTGTGATACTGCTAAGTCTGTACACTCCAAAGTAATTCTGACACATTCTAGTTTAAAAACTTTCCATCAAAAGTGGGGGGAACTATGATACATTTGTAATTGTGTACATTACATTATTGGTTTGTTACTGATAGGCTAGTAATTACTTTTTGACTAAGAGAATGAAAATAGACTCCTCCCTCCTTGACAATTGTGCTATCTGGTGATTGGAGGAATTTCCAGTAAACTCACTTTTTACTCCATTTGTCTCTAACGTTGTTTCTCCTCCACTAGCCACATATTTATGGTGCTGTCCATTTTAGGATAAGATCACATTTCAAAATGACCTCTGGCCCTGCACCTTTACAGGATGTCAGTACACAATGGGCAGTAGAATATTCCTAGAAGTCACTTTTATACCTGGATGGCTAGTAATGCTTACCTCTACACAGAAGTGATGGCAACCCACATAATTTAAGCTCAAATTAAACGTATACATGGTTCAAATTCCCAATAATGGATCACAAAATGCATATAGCCACTCCATTATGACATGAGCAGTAAGAAGTGTATCAGAGAGTAAGTTAAAAACAGAAAGAGGGCCTCCCAGGTGGCGCAAGGGATTAAGACACAATGTCTGAAGCTATCCGCAGCCACTGCAGCACGAGTTCGATCCCCAGCCAGGGAACTACCCATATGGCAAAGCGGACCTCTCCTGACTCGCCCGCTGCTCCCCTCAGCAGTGTATTTCAGTCAATCTGCCTGTTCTGCTCCCCACTCTGTCTCTGGTGAATCCCCTTACCCCTCACACCTCTGGCCTGAACCCCAGATCTTGTATGCATAAATAAATAAATCTTAAAAAAAAAAAAGAACAGGGCCTCCCCTGGTGGCGCCGTAGTTGAGCGCTGGGCTGCAAAGCTGCCCGCAGCCTCTGCAGCGCCGGTTGGATCCCTGGCCACCGGGCGAGGGTCCCACATGGCACAGAGACCTCTCCTGCCGCCCGCTGCTCCCCTCAGCAGTGTACTTTGTCAGTCTGCCTGTTTTGCTCTCCTCTCTGGCTCTGGTGAATTCTCTCACCCTCCCACACTTCTGACTGTACTCAGTGCTTGTATAAATAAATAAGTAAATCTTTAAAAAAAAAAAAAAGAACAGAAAGAGATCATGGTTTTAACTAATTGCGGATGAAATATCTTCTACAAATTTAGTCAAACAAATGGCCATGGGAAGCCGTATCTCAGCTCTTCTTGGGTCTTGGGAGGACTCTGTGAGGGGCCTGAAAGCTTAAGCCCCATTAATGTCACATTATATCTGCCTCTGAGTAGGGCAGATGGGATAACATTTATCCAGGAACATTTAGTTTATTTGTGCTGTTGTAACCATGGTGTCAGGAGAAACAACAGTCAATATGTCCCAAATATTCTTGAGTTGAATGAGACTCAGGAACATCCTTTTATCCACAAAACCAACCTTTCTTGATTTTAATCACTGGCTTCTGCATAAATGCCTCCCAAATTTCTACTGTTTGTCCTTCTTTCTTGCATTTGCAGGAATGTGAAGTCTTGTCTTCTTTGTTGGAACTATTTTTCCAAGCTTCTTCCTGACTAAGACACATCCTTATCAAATGAGTCATGTCCACCTAACTGTTAACTCTGTGACATTTGCTTCTTTTTGTGTGTGTGTGACATTTACTTTTAACATATTAACACAAAAATAGTTTTCAAACATATATATCCACATCCTTTGTATAATTTCTAACCAGGTGCTTTATATAGCTTTCATATTTGGAAAAGTTACACATTTTATATATTTATTGATCTTACAAATTTCTTTGGAATAGGTTAACCTTTTAATCAATTCTACATTTCATCATAGGTGGGGGGAAAAGTACCGTAAAGGGATGGTGGGCAACTTTTTTTTTTTAAGATTTATTTATTTTTATTCAGGGGCTGGGGTACAGACCAGAGGCACTGGAGGGTGAGAGGATTCACCGGAGACAGAGTGGGGAGCAGATAAGGCAGACAGACTGAAAGCACTGCTGAGGGGAGCAGCGGGTGTGACAGGAGAGGTCTGCCACGCCATGTGGGAATCTCCCTGGCTGGCCGGGAATCGAACCTGTGCTGCAGAGGCTGCCGACAGCTTCACAGCGCTGCGCTCAACCCACTGTGCCACTGGGGAGGCCCAGTGGGCAACATTTCTATTGTAAGTAGCAGAATCTTAAAAAAAGTGAAATCTATCACTATAGTACTTTAACCTTACAGAACCAATTGTTATTTTTCATGAACTATTTCTCCAGATTGTTCTATCAGCTTTTAGGGTTTTTCAGCATACGGAGGCTTTCTGTCCTGTTAGATCATGTGTTGCTTGAGCTGATTCTCTATAGAGCAAGGTAATTTTCTTGCATGGGTCCCAAATCTGTGAAGCTTTACTAATAATTGCTGTTGCAGATACTAAGTCAACCACAGTTAATTACAAGGGGTTTCCTGGGCTTCCCTGGTGGTGCAGGGGTTAAAGTCTCAGCGCTATCAAGCTATCACCAGCCACTGCTGAATGAGTTTGATCCCTGGCCAGGGAGCTAACACAAATGGCTCAGCAAAACTCTCCTGTCTCACCTGCTGCTCCTCTCAGCAGCGTATTTCAGTAGATCTGCCTGTTGTGCTCCCCACTTGTATTGGGTGAATCCTCTACCCCCCATACCTCTGGCCTAATACACCCCTCAGTTCCTGTATGCATAAATAAATAAATAATAAATCTTTGAAATAAAAACAAAAGGGGTTTTCTGAGTTTATATATTAATTTAATAATATACAAAGAAACTAATGGAAATAATAGTACTTAAAACTCAAAAAGGGACATAATAAGCACTTTACAGAAAATAATTTGGAGTTTGAAACTGGAATCTAGAGTAAAGTATTTGTTTGTTTAAAGAGTTTATTTTACAGCCTTAGGTAATTGAAGATCAAATTCTCTTGGATTAGTAGCTATGATGGATAATCCTATTGTGCAATACAGTAATACAAGTCAGCAATACAAGTCAGGTTTAACCTGATCTTGTTAAAACTTATTTAGTCATTGATGGAAAACAAACAAATAGGCTGGACAGGAATTGGCAATTTTCGCCAAAATTGCACATTTGTGGGCCAAAATACACACATTTGTGTGTATTTTATTATATTTGCCACAGATAATTTTTAAAATAAAAGTATTTAGACAGAACAACAACACTCAATATTTCACAGCTACATACTGTTTCCTTATCCCCCCTCTCTTTTCTCTTTCTCCTTTATACACATGCATTACTAGTTTCTGTTGAAAGATTGTGTACATTCTAAATTTATGTAGTACAGGTCTCTCCCTTTTGATGATGAGTGTAAACCATTGGACATTTCAGTGTTATAACTTTGACTTTAGGTGTTTTATTCCAACTTCAAATATAATTTTGTTTCACTTTCATTCAAGAGTATACACTGTTCCATAATTAATTTTGTTCTGTGCTGCATTGTGTAATTGAATGTTATATTATCTGGGCTTTGAAACTTTCAAAGCAAGATCGATCCATATTATTTGTCCTCATGACTGCAGATTTCTGCATGGTCAAGTGTTCCTGAAGAAAGAAACTGACCTCTTGGCAATAACACCACAGGGGTAAGTTCATGAACTAATTTTAGATAAGAAAAAAATGTGGGACAATTCTTTTCCCTTTGCAAAGCAGCAGCAGCAGCAGCAGCACCTCTTTGCCCAGCGTGTCTATTCAGGTGTCTCTTTTTTCTGTCTCCTTTACCCTAATAAATCTGTCCTTTTAAAATGTAGAAAGAAAGAAAGAAAAAAATGTAAGAGCATCAGTCACTGCCATTTAGTAAGAATAAGGTAATGATTAAAATATTTGCTTTTCTAAAATGATAATTGTAGTGACAATCTAGATTTTTAAAAATTGGCTAGTTATCATTTTTACCTGAAAAAATTAAATATTCAACTAGACATCTCTTTCATAGTTCAGCTTGAACAAATCATTCTCCTAAGCCAAATTAATTTATAATAAAGCAAGCTAGTTTTAGTAAAGTTGAGTAACTTATAATGATAATAATTAAAATTTAATCAAGTAAATTGTCAACATGAAAAGCTTATTAGAGCAAATAGAATTGTAAAATACATTTGAGAAACTCATTAATTTGGTTCACATTTATAATTAGGGAAAAAGAACATGAAATTTCAAACATGAAATTGAAA